AACAATATTTGAATAATGAATTAATAGGTTCTTGGTTAATTGGTTAGTAAAAAACATGTTAGTAAGGAAACTTATTTACAATAAACAACCTGTTATTTTTAATTGTAGGAGATTGGTCGTGGCTTTTAACCCCTATTGAGGATGCCAACCCTAGCACACCTGAGGGTAGTTACACAAAGCACCACATGTCAGCTCGAAATGTAATTGAACGGTGTTTCGGAGTATTGAAGCAAAGATTCCGATGCCTCTTGAAACATAGGGTTTTGCACTATTCCCCAGAAAAAGCGGCAAAAATAGTATTATCTTGTGCAATACTTCACAATATTGCTATAGCTGAAGGAACATTAGTCCCAGAAGACTTGGGAAATGTAGATGAAGTTACTGACATTCAATCAAGCCAAGGTATGTACATATATATGGGGGTTCCAAAAACATGCCGACAAACTTTTAAAATCCAGTTTAGTTTAACATTCTATAAATAAAATACATTTCTTTTGATGACCTGTCACAGTTTTGAACAGTATTTTATTGACTCGCAAAATTTTATTCTTTTACAATCATCGAAATATCACATCTGAAAGTTGTCGTTATGTTTTTGAGACTCCGCGTTTGTAGAAAAAGTTGAATCTCAAAACATATGTGTACATATACTTGTTTTATTTTAGGTTTTAACAATTATCTTCAAGAGGGCAGAAGAGTACAAAGTGAAATAATTAATAGATATTTTAGCGATTAATTATTGGTACTTATTAGAGCTTACTACAGTTAAAATAATTAGAAATAACAGTTCAGTTCAAGAGCAAGTAAATCAAAGTTCAAACAAACAGTATATTTTTATAATTTATTTATTTAATGAAGTCCTCAAAGTTGTCTAGATTGCCAAATAGTTTGACATACTCCAATTTAGAACTAATTAATTGGACGGTTGCCAATTTATCAACTGCAGCAGCCAAACTTTGAATTGCCTCAGTCTTTTGCCTTTCCATTTCAACGGCAATACCTTGGCCCTCAACAAAAGTTGAACAGGCTTGCTGCAGCAGACCAGTGGTGTACCTTGCACTGGTTGGGGTACCCGCAGACTTATTAACAGTTTGAAACGCTAAAACAAAATAAATTATAGATAAGTTCTATCTTGTTGAGGCGGATTCATTTTTTACAAACTGCTTGTTCGGTATTTCGCCTCAAAAATTTTCGTCTTAAAAAAAAGACAGAATTTTTCCACGTCTTTTATTACAGATTGATAAATAGGGCTCTTATTTCGCAATAAGAACGAATTATTTATCAACAAGTAATCAAGATTACCTAGAGGGTATCCTGCGACACACTTAGGCTCACGCTGTAAGAGAAAATTCCAATTAACAAAGAAATTAATTTGAAAAATTACCTTGTCGTTTTGATAGTTATTCTGCTATCGTTATCAAAGAACCTAAATGAACCTAAAAACGAGTATGTTAAAAACTTGTGTAACAATAGTAGGATAATACAGTGTCTAAAAATTCGCTCTAATAATTTGCAATAATAATAATCAATTTGCACAGACGAATTATCAGAGCGAATTTTTAGATACTGTATTATCCTACTATTGTTACACAAGTTTTTAACATACTCGTTTTTAGGTTCATTTAGGTTCTTTTGATAACGATAGCAGAAAATAGCTATCGAAACGTCAAGGTAATTTTTCAAATTAATTTCTTTACTAATTGGAATTTTCTCTTAACAGCTTGAGCCTAAGTGTGTCGCAGGATACCCTCTAGGTGATAGTTCTTGATTACTTTTTGATAAATAATTAGTTCTTATTGCGAAATAAGAGCACTATTTATCAATCTGGAATAAAAGACGTGGAAAAAATTGTCTTTTTTTAAAGACGAAAAATTTTGAGATGAAATTTTCTGCCTACCTTTTACTATTTTTGGAATAGTTCCCGTTCTTCCTCCGGCCTCTACCTTGACAGCACTTTCGCTTGCTGCCAAAACAGAAGTACCTGTAGGAAATACATTTGAGTATTTGAGATAAAGAAATAAAAAAAAATTATACCGTTAGTTGGTTCATCTATAGGTAATGAACAATCACTGGACACGGGTTGTAAT